ACCCGCCATGAGTTAGGCCTTCGGCCTTGCTCACATAGGAAGACAGTCGCGATTGTGACCAGAAGAAATAGGTGTCTTATCCGCCGCAACTTTGCGAGAAACGTAAGTACGAGCCTTGGATTCCCAATTAGAAATGTTGTGACGCTTTGCTACGTCAGTGACGACCCCCCGACAAATGCGAATCACGATCATAGTCACCGAAGAAAGCGGTGTGATAGAGAATCACAACGGAGATGCCGGTGTCACAAAGTTGAATGAGCAAGGGATGATGTGGAAATTCTGGGGAAGGATCACCATGTGTGGTCATGTTCCCATCGGCGGTAATGCTCTCGTTCTCGCTCAAGGTCCACTAGGCCTTGATCCTTGCCGTTTGCTTTGCCCTTATCATTCCATCGGATGGCATTGCCTCGATTTGGAGGTCGCCCTTTGGGTTCTGCCGGGCTCGCTCCTCCTCAGTCACAGGTCGATCTCGAACACCAAGTTGTCCGGGGTCCGTGTACTCTGCGGCTGGGACGTGGTTAAGAGCTATGGGATGCCGACTACGTCGAGTATCCAGGCGCGAATAGGTCAACTTCGCTGTAAACTTAGCCGGTATCATCATGTGGTAGTTGACGAGCAGCTCGATGGTCGTGACCGCTGTAGACGACAATCCATTTAGCATCATCACTGCCACGGGATCGATATACAGGAAATCATGAGGTTCCGTAGTTGGCTGCCTCAGCATCGCGAACATGGATTTGCCCGTCAGCAGCTCGCATGCATCTCCCGAACTGATTGACCTCGAACTTCGAGATACGTCTTCGGCTTGACTACCTCCCTCGGCATGCCCATTTGTTGAGCACCTCGCATGAGCTTGGAGAGCAATTAATTGGCTCGCAATTTCCCGAAAACGTATATTTCCTCAGGATCTGAAGCATCGTTTGGGCCTCTTGTGTAAGCCAGGATCTCCTCGTCGGTGACGTCCCGAGAAATGCGTGTATCTGGGTCGACACAACAAAGAGTAGGCCCATGTCCAAGAACATCATATCGTCATATGAGTCATATCGGTTCCCATTCTGGAAGCAGGCGAGCATGTGCTCATGAGGTTGTCCACTTAATAGTTCCAATCCACGACTTGTACATGCAGAGCACCACGACATCGGCCATGTATGTGACTGCTGCTGCTGCTACTGCTCCTGCTCCTCCTACTACTACTACTACTACTACTTATACTTACACCAGCGCTGGTGGTTCTTCCTGTTTGAATTCCTTTCTTTCCTCTTTGGACTTTGGATTCCACGTCTGCCCTTGCTGCAGTATTCTGTGCATCACTGGCCGTGTGTCGCCGATTCTGGGTTCTTTTTTGCTGATGCTTTCCTGCAGGAGGGTATTCCATAGCTATAGTAGAATATATCTCAGACATTCTCAAACCCTATTTTCATTGTTGAGGCTCCTATATTGCAGTAGGGATGCTCTGAGAAGGTCAGCCCTGTGTGATGTCGACATCTCCTGGTCCCCTTTGCTCCTGGCCCTGCCGGAGACACGACGCCTGGAGCGCGGAGACCGGCTCAGCTGCAGGGTCGAGGCCCTGAAGAATGTAACCATATAACATCTATATAACCTATATTACCTGTATTATCTATAGTATCTATATTGCCTATATTATGTTTGATCGAAAGAACGTGAGTCATGGAGTTGTTTCGATTCTTTGTTGTATATAGGCGCTGAAGAGCTTGCGCATTTTCGCCGCAAGAAACTAGTGGAACAGCTTCTGAAGATGCAGAGCAGCAAGGCTAGACCCTATCATTGCACCCTGAAGGACCCATGAACCCTGAAGCCTGCCTTGAAGGCTCTCCCTGCAGCTCTGGATGGACCGGAGCTCCGGATAGAGCTGCCACAGGAGGATGGAAGGACCGAGGGATCCGAAACTTCGGAAGTTGTGGCTTCCCGGAACTGGCGTCTCAAGTCTTGCAGCGTCAGTGTTTTTTCCTGAAGCTTTGGCATTGTCAGTTTTCAATTGCAAGTTCATGCCCTGCCTCGATCGAGGACCTTAAAATTCGAGTGGACCCTGGCGAGGGGAGCACGATGGCTCCCCTGCTGAATGGGCCTTCGGAGTGCCTCGAGCAGGCCGAGAGGCGAAGAATGCAAAGCATATCGTAGGAATGGCCTTAGCCACGTAGTGACATGGCTCACATGCAGTGATGCAGTTTAGTTGTCGAGCTGACGGGCTCTTGAAACCATGACGCCATCGAGGCAGTTTTCTTCAAACCCCGGTCCAATCACAACGGCGGGCTTGATTTGCTGACGTTGCATGACCCAGGATATTGCCCGAAGGGCGGGAGATATCCTTCGAGGACCAGCCAGAAGATGTTCTCAGCTGGGATCTGAGCGGGCGGGCTCTCTCAGCTTCGGTGACTTTCGTCTTTCCCTGCCTAGACAGTAACCTTCGATCCAGTGCCTGAGCCTCATCAAGCGGTACCTGGAATCATGTCTGCGGATGGCTGTCTGCTGCACCGTGGTGCCCAGGTTCTGAGCAGGAATTTCTCTGGGAGTTGTTTGGGCCACCATGACGTGATCTGCCCTTTCTGCTCTGAAGTGAAGCAGATCACCTCAAAGCTGCATGTTGCCTCGTGGATCTCATGGCACTCGACAAGTGACACGGTGTGACAGCACACAATGCACAGCGTATTGTAATGTCACACTTTTCACCCTGCAGGGTTACAGCATATGTCATGTTTCTTAGTGGCCCCTGTGCACTGCGCACCAGCATCCGGAGAACCGAACTGCTGAGCCCGGAGATTCGCGCGCACAAAGTTGTGCTCAGATGGGGCCGGCGCTTCAGCCGGACGAAAACATGCTGCGCTGACACTCACTCCATGCTTTGGTACTTCCTCTTCTGCCTAGAGGTGAAGGCGGAGACAGGTAACGGCGGTTCTGCTGTTATGCTTTGCTGCCGTTGCATTCTGCTTTTGGTCCCGTTGGTGCTCAATGGCAGGCCCGATCAGACTGCAGCTTTGCAAATGCCAGGCCTACGTCCAAAGCATCAAAACGAAGCTGCAAGCTTGGATCGCTTAAGGGGACCAAGCTTCAGGCATTGGCGGTAATTCCCAGAGCATCGGACATGCAGAGGAAATAGCCAAGGGAGCTCGCCAAGCCAGAACAGCGTCCGCACTCCAAAACTATCCCTGAGTATGATTTACAAACATTTACAAGCTTTCGGCCCCAAATTATGTATCAAAGATGTAAACTAGGAGTCGCAGGGCAACCCCTCGAGGGTCGAGCGTACTACTAGGTATGATTCTACACCGCAGGTTTGCACAAGCCTGTATCATGCCATCGCAGCTTAAGAGGAGTCCCTGTCTGTGGTTACCTTTTTTACTGAGCAGTCTCCTCTGAGACGCTAAATTTTGAGAACACGGTTGATGCCATAGGCTGGGTCGTGGCTGCTGAGGCGGGAGATCATCAGGCGGCAAGTCGTCAAGACCATCTACCCGGCAGGGTACCCGAATCCTGAAGAAGTGAGCGGGAGCGGATACTTTGGATTCTAATGACGAGACGGTCCATGAGCAAGCCAGGCACACGACAGGGTCATGAGCAGCATTATAGCTATATCTGTATAATATACACACAAAAGATACAAAGAAGTCAAAACAGAAAACATATGTGTGTATGACATATATACATATATACATATTCTCTCTATCTATCTATCTATCTATCTATCTATCTACCTACCTACCTACCTACCTAGCTAGCTATCTAGCTATCTATCTATCTATCTATCTATCTATCTATCTATATATATATATACACATGCTGCTATGCTTTGGGTAGTGCACGATGTACAAACGAGATGCCTCTCTGCCGAAGAGCGGCGGTTGAGACAGAATTTGTTTTGCAAAAACAAGCCAAAACACTTCATGCAGCTCGACGTGGGGTTGGGATGACAATACGTCTTTCTAAGCTCCATGATGCAAGTGCCTTGCAGGATGTCATCATCTGTTTAGCAGTTTTTCGCAAGTCAGTGGACAAGTGGACATGCCTTGACAGTCCCGAGTGCCATCGTCAAGAAGCCCACGCTATCCCGTTGAACTTCCCACACCTGCATATCTCGACCCTATAAGCCCTAAAACCCCTAACCCGACAGGCCCAGGACCTGCACCGCGGAACCTTACAAGAATCCAACCCCAAATCCGAATCGCACTGCTCACACCTGCGCAGACCCACGAGCTGGCGAGGGCGACGTTCCACGCACAGCTCTCGGCAGCGAGGTCGCTTGCAACGTAACGGTTTAGGGTTTAGGGTTCCGGAAATCCCCCGACCAGTGTGCATTGATACTAAGTATGATTGTCCCGAAATATATTGAAAGCCCCAGGTCCCTCGTAGACCCCAAGTTTTCCTGGAGTCAACAACCAGGTCCTTGTTGGCTGCAATTTTACACTTTTGTACAATGAAACCCAATAAGGACTGAAAATGGTCATCTTTAATATAGCCAGACAAGGAGTCATCGAGGCCAGAGGATGCAAAAGTTCCAGGCTTTCGGCGCCGGTGTGCTTTTGGCTCAAAGCTTCGGCAGAAGGCCCTGGAGTAACATGGGGGGGATCGGATTTGCTTGATATTACCGGATGTTACTCATCCCCTTATATTCCCTGTATATCCATACTTTGATGTCTCTTAAAGAACGTATTCTAGTGCTAAAGTTTTCGTAGAAGAAGCAGGAAAAGGGTTTGGGGCTTTGGGAAGCAACACACAGGTACTCTGCACATCATCAGAGAGGCGGATGCATTCCTAGTACTTTCCGGCATCTAAAGCAGACATGCAAAAGATGTTGCTCCTACGTGCCCAAGTGTATCACGGTGCTGTATCGGTTTCAGCCAGCATCGCAACAGTCGGCCGTCAGTACCAGAACGGACGATTCAACCTCATCATTGCGGGAATGCTACACGGTGCTCAAACCCGCAGCCAACAGTCCCAAAATCTAGAACTTGAGAAGCGCGGCCCTCCGTGCCCGAAGATTCGCCATGGCTTTGGCCGTAAGTTGCCCTTTAGACCATGGCCGGGCCTTCAGTGCAGTCTGCGACATCAAATGGAGCTTTTGTTTTGAACTAAGGGCCAAGGGCGTTTTATGAAACTGAAGGTGCATGAACGATTCTGGTACTCACGGGTTTTATGAGGGTCCACTAATTCCTGGAAGTCTCATACAAGGTCTTGCCTACCAAGTATTGGTACGGTTGTAGTTCTGTTCTTATATATAGATGGCTCATGACATGCTCTGCTGTAGCAGAAGCGCGAGTGTTGTGCAGAGTACTGCCCATGATCTGAGCATTCTGACCAAGGCGACTGCTTGCTCCCAGGCGGTCGGATGGTGGCGTCTTTCGAGGGCGTAGAGTTCGTCCGCTGGCAGGACAGTTCAGACTATGTTCTCATCGCAGCTAAGGGCAATGAAAGGTATAAGAAGCCAGAATGATGGTTCTAGCATTGATTTGCATGTCAACGCTGTCGTGATCGTCTCCGATGATTTTAGAATTTTGTCACTGTATCTAAGTGAAGCATGGAGCGAAGCACAGCATCCGTACCCATTTGCATCTAGTGCCAGAGTTGAGTTCTGGGCTGGGCATTACGTATGTATTCTAGTATCATACAACGTAACATCATTTATTGCGATATTTTCGTATAGTAAAGTAGTACAGACTATAGTGTAGTTTTGAGCCAGTTGGTTGGATCATGCTCGTGTCGACGCTGTGGTGTTCGTCTCGACACGACAGTCCTTTCTTTCCGGGCGTTAGAGCAACTGGGCACAAGCTCCCGAAGCCGGCTCTATCTGATGCTAGGAATGATCCTGCCCCTGAGCACCTGCTGGAATCCCGTAGAATTGGAGGGGGGGGGGGGGTTATGCTGAAGTCCTGAAGCAGGAGTGGCCCTCGGCCAGTGCGCAGTTGATTCTGCAAGCTTCTCCCTACAGGCCATCTGCTGACTCTGGGACTCGTAGGTTCGATGGCTGAAGCGCCTAACCCGCAATCGCAATCTCCCAAGTACCCCGCGTGACAGGTATCCCGGTGAATCGCAAGACGAGGAGGTACTGCGGCAGTCGGCAGTGGAGTGGAGGGTATCAACAAGAACTTCTGCGATGCAGCACGATGTCACGAGTCTGACACGAGTTCTCGAGGCTAACCGGCTAAAACCATGCTCTGAATGCGACAAGCATATCGTCTTCAAACCGCACGCGTGCCAAGTCTCGAAGCCGAGCTTTCTCCCATTCCGGAAGCCCCAAACCTGATACCCTAAGCCCAGCCATGACGGCCAGGATGAGAGCGAGAGCGAGTGGGAAGATGAGTCCGAGGCCTGAGCTGTAACATTTGCGCAAAGCAGGACTGATCTGCTGGGGGCTGCGGCTGTTGCCTTTGTCTGTTTGCCCTCAGGAGGAGGCTTTGCCAGCACTTCCGGATTCCTTCAAGGAGGCTCGCATTGATCCGGAAAGGCGGATCTTTTTCCAGCAACCCTTTGGGGCGATATCCGATTGGGTGCAGCTTACAGTGGCGACGTTATATGAAAGCAGAAGTGGTCGGAATGTGCAGGAAGTGCCCGCGAAGATCTTGGCAATTCTCTCCGAGGCTGCGATGCATGCAGCAGCACGCCTGCCAAGCCTGGAGAAAGTGCTCTGACCGACAACACTAAAGTCAAAGTCCTAGCATAAGGGCAGAATTTCGCAGTCTTCAAAGGTGAGCCGTGCACTCTAGATCTCCGGGCAAGGTGGCTGAAGACTCCGTAAACTTGGAGAGCGAGCTGTTAGTCGGAGTCTTAGTCGCGGCTTCGGGGCTTGGGTATGACGGGCGATTCAGGATCTGCGACCTCAACCTGCGAGCATGCCTTGTGTTGCCTGCAGCTTCCGGAGAAGGGAGATCTGAACGTAGAGTGCCACAACCCAGAGGTCCTTTCAGATCTTTAAGAATGGAGCGGTCTGGAATCGACCCTCACAACATGTACTAGAGAGCCACTGTCATGCTCCATAAGTAGTAGCCGATGCTTCTGTCTTTGCTTTGGCTTTCAACCTTGACGAGGATGGGATCGACTCGCTGGGCGCGACTTTGGCGGGGGCCTCGGCGCGAAAGGGGACCGTTTTCGCCGCCGTTCGTCGAGTTGCTGCTGCGGTTACTATAGTCGCGCCCGCTATCATGGTCCGCATCAGGCATCGCCGGGCAATCAAGATCTTGAGGAGTTGCCGTCACGATCATCTTCATGATGATCGTGGTTGCAGTTGTTGTCTCCACCGTCTGCACTGCTCGCAACATGAGCCCCGTGCTCATCGCCACCATCATCATCATCGTCATGGTGCTGTCCAGCTTGGTATCGTTATGATCGATTTCAGTGAGGAGCACATCACGCGGAAGGCTGCGATTCAGCCATCGACCCACCCCTCCATCTTCTGACGCTGCCGACTAGATTGTCAGCTCAAGGTACTGCAAAACATTCAGCTCCAAATGGGGGTGAACATCCTCGTCAGCGACTGGATGGACGCGAGTTGTTCTGCAAAGCTGTGGCTTCGAGCATAATCTCGTTCGAGGTTCTACAGCAGGAAATCAACGACAACTTGTCTCCCCTGCATGTCCGCAATCACCTGCCTACGAGTCTACTGTGAATAAGGAATTCCAGAGCCAATCAATCATCACCCAGACTGAGCATTCACGAATTGCCAAGAAAGTTGACCTAGCAGGCTCCGGGACGTTTACATGTTTCACATGCTTGCGATCAGCATCACGTCCTCGCATCCGATACGGCATCCGAAACTCCAAAATGTAGCTATCATTGCGCACCATGTGCAGGAGATGCAGCGTGCATCAGACCTCGTCGCGCGTGTGATGGAGGCCTCAGCTCCTTCGAACTGCTTGCAGGGCCGAGGTATTTGTTCGTGATTTCTTTGCAAAGGCTTCGAGTGCGGATGGCCATCCACTCGTGGCATGCATTGCAACAGATTCCCACAGGGATAAATTCTGTCAAACTCTGAGAGCGCGGAGGTCCGCCAGCCCCTCAGCCTTGTAGGAGCTGCCAGAACAAGCTCCAACCTTGCCGAACAAGCCCCCAAAACGCCGGGGACAAAGACGACTGGACGGGAGTTTGCTAATGCTCCATGGTGTCCTTAACAACACTTATAGTAGTTTGTCGTGGAGTAGCAATCAATATAGCGACTATTGGATATCATAAACAAAAGACTGGCATCCTTCCTCGTTGTTCAATGAGAGTTGTCTCAAACCATAGGTAGGCATGCGCTTTGTGCTGGGCTGCTTTGAGGAGCTGTTGCTAGCTGCTAGCTCCATGTTCAGCCTTGAGTCGTTGACCCACAAACTGTCCTAGCACGGCTTCCCGGAGTGGAATTTCTCAGGAGGGCCTTTTGAACCTGTGACAGGCAACGTCTAGCAGCACCCCAGCAGCAAAGCGCACAGGTGCACTGATAAGGTTACTTCTCCGATATGACCAGATGTGCAGTTGTGCGTGTACGGTCGGCCCCCATGCTAGTGTTGACAGTCTCGCAAGCTTTTCATCCAACACAACCACCATCACTGTAGCGACAGAGTACCTTCATGGGCTGCAGAGTCCTTGGCTCAGAAGCATCCAAGGCCGAAGGAGAAAGCCCCGGCCGACAGAGGAGAAGGTGGGATCGACTTGGACGGGTTTTGCTGTGCCAAGGATACTTCCAGCATAGTCACAATCAAAGGCCCACAAGGATGCTAGGCAACAACAGGTGGGGACAGTCTTTAGAATGTTATACAGCGAGAGCTCTGTGGATGGTCTTTCGATGTTGGGACCCGACCTGGGTGTGTGATTCAGCGAGCAGCGCTTAACACAATCAAGCACCCTCGCCGGAGTCCCGAAAGCAAAACTGCGCCTGGCAATTTGACGACACAACATTGCTGGACAAATCCTACAGTAGCCACACCAGGGGGAACAAGCATAATAGGGCATAGGCTACAACAGGTTTTCCCCATCATAAGTCCGAAAGTGCAATCCGACCGCTTGTTTACAACCCTGGGAAAGACTGGCAGCAGCTAGCAGCACTGGCACTTCTGGTGCAACGGGCGTTCCTCCTTTGCACGTGAAGCTACGTTGGAGAATGTCAGCACAGAGTCGCGAGTGTAGCTGTAACCCACAGTATTATGTATTTTTTGTCGCACATCCCGGAACTCGCAAGAAGGTCCACATCTTTGCTGCAACATACATCTCCATGACGGCAGGAGTTTCCCACCGCCGTTCTCGTGGCATCTGGTCTTGCGGGGCATACTTACATAGCGGTTGACATCCTCTGGCATCCTGTGAGCCCATCAAAAACCTTCCTTGTTAAGCGCGTCTATAGAAAGGCAATCGCAGCAAGGACTCCAGAAATGTAGACAATTTGGGGTTTAGGTATTACTAATCATCACCGGTTCATAGCATTGTTGTTACTATTTTGCTGTTTACTGTCATGCTTATTTAGGTGCAGCTCCCCGATACCTTCGTCAGGCCCTGGTTCCTGCTGCTGCTCCGGCCCTTCCCAGCCGCGAGGAGGTAAGCGACAAGGCCTCAACAAGCCATGCCTGTTTGGGGGTTTTAGGTTTGTTGGTTGGTTTTGGAGCTTAGGGTTCAGGATTTACGGGGGTTTTGGGGGGGCTTTAGATCTTAGGTTGTAGGGCTCCGAGGGCATCTGCTTGATACAGCCTGAGATTGCTGTGAGCTTGCGCCGTGCTGTGCATTCTTACTCATCACCATGTTGATTAATGATCAACCCTGTGACCTTGTGGTTTAGCAAAATTGTCTATGATGCGGCATATCACGAGCCACAAACGCAGAGAGAGAGAGAGAGAGAGCCGACGCGAACCATGGGGGGGTAGGACCTCGGGCCAGGAGTGCGTGCACTCCACAGCCCTAGCAAGCAAGCAAGCGAGAGAGAGCCAGGGATTCCTAAGGAGGTTCCCTCAGAAGTACAAGGTGTATTGACCCAAATGTGGTCCCAGCCTGAGGCGAATTTATCTCCACAGGTTCTGAAGCAATGTGACGTTTGTAATCAAGACAGGTCACCCTTTTCACATGATGCAGTCAATATTAAACCTGGTCGCACGACGTCGCTGCTCTGCACCTGTCCGACATCCCATTCTCGCCCAGGGTTTAATCCCAAAATCTAGACACGACCAGCAACAAGCTGTTCAGAACCTAGGCACAGGTTGTCCCGGACAGCACAAGAGAGCTGAACAGTTTAGTAATGTCATAATATAACATATTACATATTTTCATCCTTTTGCATTGTATTGTATCATACTATGATGTAAAATGAGGTCGCCCAGGACCCACACGTAAATGTCCATAAGTCGCTCTGGCAGATCCTGTCAGTGCTGAACGAGGTGGGAGCCTCGATCTACGGAGCTCTAGGGATGTTCAAGAGTTTAGGGTGTAGGGCTTAGGGTTTAGGGATCATGTGGCGCGAATTGGGATGTTTCGTGACCTCTGGTACTGCGACCGCGGCATCGCGCTGCGAGATGATTTGGGATCTGCAAGTCTTTTGGACGCCTGATCATAGTCAGTCTTCGTGCAGGGTTTCTACACTGTTGGTAGTTGAAGATTTCATGGAGCCGTGCGTTTTTGCCGCAGGACCACCTGACAAGGCTGCAAGCAGCCCTTTAGAGAGGTCGGCTTTCTCCCTTATGAGACACCCTTCCACCCAGGTTGCTGGGGATGTCGACGATCCCATGCAGCTTGGCTGGGCTTAGATTAGGGAGCAGTTTCAGAAAATGAGGGAGGGGACCGAGGACCACCCTAGCTAGCTCACCTCACTTAAGCGTAGAAGCAGTACTTGAATATTATATAGCATGGCAGAGTTGACGAGCAGAGTAGAGGCAGAAAAAACGGAAAGCAACAACATCGACAACGACATCAACAAGCAATACCACTACAGCAACACCAATCACAACCGCAAGCAACCTCTCAATTGCAGCATCAACCCGTCAACACAAGCAACAGCAGCAGCAGCAGCAGCAGCAGCAGCAGCAACGGACAGCAAGAAAGAGAGCATGATAGTACCTAACTGAGAACAGGTGCAAGATGAGAAAAGCGGTAGTTTAGCCATGATAACACAATAATTCTGGCCCAGAGTAGCAACCGTAGTTAGACTAGTGGCAGCTATAGTGCCATGATCGAGAGTGCAACAAGAACCCAGCAACATCAGCCCACATCATCGTCCCTCATGCTTGTCGGCTTTCTTGGCACCGTCGCTACGACAGAGTCCATCTTTAGATGGAGCGCAGCAGCTGTATTGAGGCTTGTTGTTGGCTTTGCTTGGTGAACACGATTGCATGACCACCGCCAAACTTGAGCAGCAGTCACTAGTACCAGTAGCAGCAGCGGTAGCAGAAGCAGGAGAAAGCCAGGAGATGCCAGGAGTAGGAGCAATCGTCGGAGAAGGAGTACTAGTTGAAAGCAGCAGGTGTAGTGGTTGCTGTAGCTGCTGTAGCTGTAAAAGTTGTTATAATGGTCGTCGTCGTCATCGTACGTGCAGGTGTAGGTGCAGTTGTAGTTGTAGCACTAGCAGGAGCAGGAGCCGGAGCAGGAGCAGCAGCAGCAGCAGCAGAAGCAGTAGTAGCAGCAGTAG